TCTCCCAAAACCTGTATCCACCATGCTAAAATTGTAATTGATGGTATGAGTATCCTATTAATCGAAAAAAATAGTAATAAAGCCAGCTCTAGTAAAAATAACTTATCTCATTCTGAAACAGAAATCGATAAACCTGATCTAAATTTAGAAAAGTTTATAGATTTGTTTAAGAAATTAGCTATAGAAACTAATTTATCCAGTTCTGATTCAGAATCCACGGGTTCAGACTGGTACGATCTTGATCTAAAAAAACCCGAAAGAACGCATCTATATTACAAAGAAAAAGTTTATCTTTCCTAGCCAAAAACATCGTAGAAATAAGCCAATTAAAACTAAGTAATCTTTAATCCAGAAAATTATTATGGGTAGAATCAATATAGAAGTATTTCAGAGAAATGACATATTACTGCGCTATATTACTGCATCCTGGTGATATGGTATCCTGCCTCGGCAACTAGAAAAAATAAATACTGCACCACATTATTGCACAAAGTGGACTAATCATTGAATAAATATTTAAACCTGCCCACATCGGGCTTAGTAATATGTATTTGTTAGAATTATTTTGTATACGTATAAAATTTATCTGTATTACCTTGCAAGGCTTATCATTATGCATAACTTATTTGTGAGATAGATCACAAGTAGAAATTGCCATTTTCAATTTTCTGGAATTAGTACTTAAACCAAAGTCGGTCAATTAACTCATATCACATATCGATATGTTCTGAATTTATTTGTAGATGAGGGCGCAATTGCCACATATTATTGACCACATTATATTTTTTCTGTTAATGTATAACAATAAAAAAATATCTGAATAACATACTCATACGTAAAGATAAACAAAATTATATCAAAAAGTAGCATATCTTTAGAGAATGGAAGCGTGGGTGTAAAGTTTGTGACGAATGCAATTACCATTCTCACCTATATTGCAAAACATGCAAAAAAGTAGTGAATAGAATATATAAGGATGTGAATGTGATAACGTGTTAGAATAAATTTCACATACATATAAATTTATCTGTATTACTTTCATTATGCATAACTTATTTGCGAGACAGGGCACAATCTCAAAGTGCTATTTTTCTGAATTAGTACCTAACCAAAGTCAGCCAATTAACTCATGCCATATCTTTGTGAGGAATTCACTCGGACAGAAACTTTATCTGGCCTAAATGCGCACAATGTATGCATATACTATGGAGTATCAAATCCCTTAATAATAATTTTAACCTTACATGGTTCTATAACTCATGATGCATATATTTACATAATTTTTAAAATTCTTTTGCATCATCGATAGAAATTTCTCTGCATAGAAATACATATCTCAACTTCTATTATAAAAATTTTTGATGTAAGAGTGCATGTTTTTGCTTCTGCCTAACCTTTCCAATATTTCGAGTTTCAAAGAAGAGATGAAAGAAAAAATATATAAAAGGGCAGTATCTCGAAATTATGGTTATTTGACGCTTACTAGTGATTATTTCTTGCACTATTTTAATATATCAACAGAGCTAATAATATTTTATACCACAAAAATTAATTACTTAAATCATACTAGCACAACTGAAGTCTTCACTCCATTATGTGACTCTTAAAAACTGCTTCCTTAGACAAAATCACCATTGTGAGAATCTTCACTCAGCTATGGAAACTATTTAAGATCCAATCCAAAGAAGATTGCGAATGTCTTATGAATATATTAAAAAGCGTTGAAAGTGGTATTAAGAATAAAGAGCGTAAACAGCATATTACAACATTACAAGATGTTAATAGAGTAAGTAAAATAATATTTCAATATTATTTACAAAAATAATGAATATAGTCTGTTACCAATTAATAAGTATAATGCGATTGAATTAAGTTATACACTAACGAGGGTTCTTTTTCATTATACTTATAATGCTGTTTATGAATAGCAAAAATGCTGGCAATCACTGATTGGATGAGTCTGACTTGTACAAGAATGATATTCTGTAACTATACTAACTATATTAAACCACTATTTTTTTTAGATCAATTATACTCG